AAAGCTGATGATTGCTTTTGAGAACTCGACGCTTTCTGTGAGTTCTATTTGCGCTTTAGAAGGGATACCTCGTTCAACATGGCTGACGTGGCTCAGTAAAGAAGACCGCTACATGTCAACCCAGCGCAATAAGCAACGCCCCACGCTTGGAGGCCAAGGTAGACCCGTCATAATGAAATTTACTGGCGACTTGGTACATTTCATGCGAACTGTACGAGATGAGGACCACCGCCTCACCACGGCCCACATGGTCAGGCGGATCAAGACCCACCAACCAACTTGGATGGACCACTAATTAGGCGAGAAGGCTTCAGCAGGCACTTGCTACGCTGGACTCCTCGGCTTGTGCCAACGCTTTGTTTACCGTCATGGATTTGCTCAGCGACTTCCTTGCTTCTCCACATTAAAGCAAGCCGAGCTGTCTGAGAAGAAGGAAATATTTCCCTCAACATTTTGGTCCAAGCACAGCCACGTCCCATTGCGCGACATCATTTATGCCGACGAGACGGCAGTGTATTATGACATGCCACCACGCCGTATTTGGTGTGAGATTGGCGCCGACGCTAAAAGTGACTCCTCGGAAAAGCATTCCAAAGTATGACGGCGGTGTTGGCCGTATTTGCTGATGGCTTGTGATCAATATTGTAACGTTGATATTATTAGTTATGTAGGAAAGAAGCTGCCGATCCTCTTTATTGTACGGTACGTGGGGTGGTCGGAGGCCAAGTTGAAACCGACGAGTTGTCTACCTACCCAACGGGTCACGTCTACGCCGTTCAAGAAACGGCGTGGATGGACGAAGACATGTGGCGCTTCTACCTGAGGGACCTCCTTAAATTAGAGCTTGTCAGCCCAACGACGCTGCTGGTGGATAACTTGTCAGCCCATGTGTCCGTCCCAGCACGACGGGTCGTGGACGACGAGTTATACTCGTCGTCTTTCTGGAGCCCCTGCCAGCGAACACAACGATTGTTTGTCAGCCACTTGACGTTGGGAGGATTGGCCCTCTGAAGGCAAAGATGCGTGCCCTATGGCTGCGTGAAGTGCCCGTGATTTCTGCTGCGGAAAAGCGAATGAAAATGATCGAACGTA